AATCTTGAATAATAAGAACAAAGCTGGAGACATCACCCTTCTTGATTTCAAACTATATTACAAAGTTATAGTAATCGACACAATATGGTACTGTATTTTTACATAAATAAAGCATTACATCCTATATACTTTCTTAGTTGCTTAAAGATAGGCACATAGACCAATGGACCAAAATAGAGAACCCAGAAATAAACTCACACATAAATAGTCAATTAATCTTTGACAAGGGTTCCAGGAATACACCATGGAGAAAGGATAGTCTCTAAAAAATTGTGTTAGGAAAACTGAATATCTACATGCAAAAAGAATGAAATTGGATTCTTATCTTACACTACACAAAAATTAACTCAAAATGGATTAAATACTTAGACGTAAGGCCTGAAATTGTAAAATTCCTAGAATAAAACACAGAAAGCTCTGTGGAGGCGAGACCCCGTGGGAGACCCCACAAGTGCCGAGGCAAGGGTCTGAAGCCTCAGCCTGTTCCCATGTGAATACAGAACTAGAAAAGAATTAGAGATATAGTTACATAATTATTCCTATATATAACCATAAATAATCACATATTCATGTGTAATTATAGAAATATATATACTCAATATAACCTTTCAATTTTACTAACTATGATGGGGTTATGAAGCATGCAACTGAGGTTACATTGTGAGCAAAATGATCCTAAGGAAAGATGCTCTAAGCCCTCTGTCACGCCCGCATAAGGGCTGTTGGAGGGCGCCTCGGCTGTGCGTCAGTGTCAGTGCTGGGACAGCACCTCCTATTTAGCTAGCTAGGGAAGGAGATGTCCAAAACATCTGAGAAGTCTCCTTCCTCTGGGGAGTTAGGAGAAAACTCAGCTCCTCCAAGCTCTTGTGGTAGGCCTGACGGCTGTCAGGGAAGCCTGCAAACACCTGGGACTTAACTGTCTCTATGTGATGCTGTGCTTCAGTGGTCACGTCCATGTCTACTTATATGTTCCACTTCTGCACCTGGTTCCTCTTTTTCTTAGAAGATAGAATCAGTAATAGTCATATAAATCTTAATGTCTTTGTTCTTTCGTGACAAGTATGAGAAAAGTGCTGACGCATTAGGTTTCTCCTTGCCTTGGCTACTTGAAAGACCCGGGCCCCTATCTCCAAGACACGTGATTTACCTGACCCTCTCACTGACCAACATTACCTCACCCTACCTACCCTGCCCCCTGCTTTGTACTGCCGGACTCCATGTTTTGGTTGGCAGTGTACCCCTGGCCCAAACTCTTGTTTTCTCTTTCTTGGTGTCTTGTATCTTTTATTTCCACAGTTTCTTGTCTCCACACCTACAGAGAGGAACTCACAGGACCCTGTAGGGCTGGACCCTACAAAGCTCTTTGACATTGGTCTTGAAAATAACTTTTTTGTATATGACCCCAAAAGCATAGACAAGAAAAGCAAAAATAGACATATTGGGATTGAATCAGACAAAAAGCTCCTGCATAGCAAAAGCAAACAAACCAACCACCAACAAAATGAAAATGCAACCTACAAAATGGGAGAAAATATTTGCAAGTTATATATCTGAGAAGGGCTTACTATCCAAAATATATAAGAAACTCATACAACTTAATAGCAAAAAACAAACAACCCACCCTCCAAAAAATCCAGTTTAAAATAGGCAAAGGATGGAATAGATATTTTTCAATGGGAGCTACACAAATGGGAAATAGGTAAATGAAAGATGCTTAACATCAGTAAAAAGATGCTTAACATCATCAGGGAAATATAATCAAAATTACACTGAGGTATTTCCTCACACCTGTTAGTATGACTGTTATCAAAAGTACAAGAGATAAATTTTGTCAATATGTGGAAAAAAGAGAACCCTTGTACACTGTTGGTGGGGATGTAAATTGGTACAGCTGTCAGAAACATTTGAATCAGAGTGACTCCATCTTGAATGGAGGCTGGGTAAAATGAGTCGCAGATGCACTGGGCTGCATTCCCAGGTTAGGCATTCTAAGTCACAGTGGCATCCAGAGGTGTGCCACCACTGCCCTGATGCACCCATTCTGCTGGTGGGCACCAAAAAGGACCTGAGAGCCCAGCCTGACACCCTAGGGTGCCTCATGGAGCAGGACCAGGCACCCATCACACCGCAGCAGGGCCAGGCACTGGCCAAGCAGATCCATGCTGATCTCAGCACAATATACAGGTCACAAAGACCTTGCTGATAAAAAAGGTCGTGGTAAAGAGGCCAGCCAAAACCAAATGGCCATGGAAGTGACCTCTGGTTGTCCTCACTGCTCATTATATACTAATTATAATGCATTAGCATGCTAAAAGACACTTCCACCAGCACCATGACAGTTTACAAATGCCTTGGCAACATCAGAAAGTTACCCTATATGGTCTAAAAAAGGGAGAAATCCTCAGTTCCAAGAATTATCTTTCCAGGAAAACTCATGAGTAATCCACCCTTTGTTTAGCATATAATAAAAAAATAACCATAAAAATAGCCAACCAGAAGCCCTCAGGGCTGCTCTGCCTATCGAGTGGCCATTCTAACTTTCTTAATAAATTTGCTTTCACTTTACTATATAGACTTGCTCTGAATTCTTTCTTGGGTGAGGTATAAGAACACTCTCTTGGGGGTCTGGATCAGGACTGTTTTCTGATAACACAGTCATTAAGGAAAATGGTATAGATCCTCAAAAAATCAAAAACAGAACTACTACTACTGAGTATATATCCAGAGGAATGCATTAGCATGCTGAAAGACACTCCCACCAGTGCCAAAACAGCGTCTTGAAGAGATAGCTATGCTCTCATGTTTTTAGAAGAATTATTCACAGTAGCCAAGATATGGAAACAACCTAAGTGTCCATAGATGGATGACTACATGAAGAAAATAAGGTGTATAACCCAAAGGATTATAAATCATTCTGTTATAAAGACACATGCATACAAATATTCATTGCGGCACTGTTTACAATAGCAAAGACTTGGAGCCAACCCAAATGCTCATCAATGATAGACTGGATGAAGAAAATGTGGCACATATGCACTATGGAATACTATGCAGCCATAAAAAGGATGAGTTCATGTCCTTTGCAGGGACATAGATGAATCTGGAAACCATCATTCTTAGCAAACTGACACAAGAATAGACAACCAAACACTGCATGTTCTCACTCATAAATGGGTGTTGAACAATGAGAACACATGGACACAGGGAGGGGAACATCACACACTGGGGTCTGTTGGGGGATGGGGAGGCTAGGGAAGGGATATCAGGGGGTAGGGAGATTGGGGAGGGATAACATTAGGAGAAATACCTAATGTAGGTGACCGGGGTATGGATGCAGCAAACCACCATGGCATGTGTATACCCATGTAACAATCCTGCAAAATCTGTATATATACCCCAGAACTTAAAGTATAATAGGAAAAAATAAGGTGTATATATATATATATATATATATATATACACACACACACACACATACACACATACACATACATACACACACACATTTTCTTTATGTATATATTCACACACATGGTGAAATATGATTTTGCCATAAAAACAAAGCCAATCCTGCCATTTACAACAACACAGGTGAACCTGGAGGAGACTATGCGAAGTGAAATAAGCCAGATACGAAAAGATAAATGTTGCATGACCTCATTTATGTGTGGAATCTAAAAATGTCAAACTCCTAGAACCAGAGTAGACCAGTGGTTGCTAGAGGTTGAGGTGTGGGAAAATGGGGAGATGTTGGCCAAAGATTATGAACTTTTGTAACTGGACCCCACTACTTACCCATCATTAGCCTTTGGGTCGGGGTTTCCTCAGTACTTTCTCTTCCTTGGTTGCCAGAAAGATGTTACTGGAAAGAGGTTTGAATCCAGACTCCAAGAAAGGGTTCTTAGATCGAGCACAAGAAAGAATTCAAAGCTAATCCATAAAGTGAAATCAAATTTATTAAGAAAGTAAAAGAATGAGAGAATGGCTACTCCATATGCAGAACAGCAGGATGGGCCGCTGGTCGCCCATTTTGATGGCTATTTCTTCTTGTTTATATACTAGATAAGGGGTGGATTATTCATGCCTTTCCCTTTTAGACCATATATGGTAACCACCTGACGTTGCCATGGCATTTGTAAACTGTCATGGCGCCGGTGGGAGTGTAGTGGTGAGGATGACCAGAGGTCGCTCTCATTGCCATGTTGGTTTTGGTAGGATTAGAGCTGGCTTCTTTACTGCACACTGTTTTATCAGCAAGGTCTTTGAGACCTGCATCTTGTGCTTAGCCTTAGTTTACTCAGCCCTAGTCAAGATGGAGTTGCTCTGGTTCAAATGCCTCTGACACTTTTAATTATAGGATTATTAAGTCTGGCATTCTAATGAATGGTATTGTAACTACAGCAGATGATACTGTATTGTATGCTTGAAATTTGCTAACAGTAGATCTTAAATGTTCTCACTACACACAGAAAGAATAGCAGCTATATGAGGTGATGGATGTGTCAGTTAACCAGATTGTAATCATTTCACAATGTATATATACATTAAAACATCATGTTATACATCTTAAATATACAGAATTTTAATTTTTTGATTACATCTCAATAAAGCTAGAAAACAAACAACATGAGTGGTTACTCAGTAGCAGACTTTACCCCTCCTACCTTTGCTCTGCTATTTAAAGACTGTTCAGTGTGTGTAAAGAAATGAAAATTGCTGATTAACAAATAGCATGAGAATTTATTGAGCGTAGTGCTCTTATATGATACTTGAACTCAAGTCTCTGTCATGCATAGCTGAATCAGTTTTCTTTAAAACTGCAGTGGAGGTGTGTCTAATTCATTACCACAAGTACGTTAGGCTTTGCTCTTCAAAAGAAACCCAGATATTTGTCTTTGCAATCCAGCCACAGACACCATTAGTTATGGGAATCAGAGGTGTATGATTTTTGGATGGACAGATTTTGCTGCAGGAGTGTTTAGATTCAATTTAAGGGGTGGTTTCTTTTGATTTGTGTTATTTGGGATACATTGCTGATGTGCTTCTTATTTTTTCATCGAGACCTGATAGAAAGATGGGTTATACTCTTTGTAGCATGAAAAGGAAATGAATAAAGTGGACCCAACGTGTATACTTGGAAGTTACAAGCATGAACTGACTTTCTAAACTTTCCCTTCTGACGGTGAAGGCTTCACGGTGTGTGTGTGTGTGTGTGTGTGTGTGTGCGCGCGCGTGTGTGCACGTGTGTGTGCGTGTGTCTAAGCTCTGCCAGGAAAATCCTTTGAGAACAGCCTCTGTTTCCTTTTGTGCAGAGCGTGGTCACACCCAGTGGCCAGTTAGGCTAATCGCACGTGTATATTCCCCAGGGATACCTGAGAAAGAGCAGCCGGCCTCAGTCACTTCCTCTGGTGGATGCCAGAGGCCAATTTGGATAATAGCAGAGCCACCTTGTTCCTTCCCTTTGTTCCAAAATGTGGTGCCTGGGTAGGAAAAAGTCCCACACCATTCATGATGTTAACAATAGCAGCATTAACAATCATTGGACTCCCACCGAGTCTGTTATTCTTTAAATTAGGACCCAGGAATATAATGAGATGGATTTTCACAGGAACAAGGGCAGGCTGAAACAAAGAGGTATTGCTTTTTATTCTTATTTCCCTTTATTTTTGCATAATTTAAACATTTTGAACCTTAACTGTTCTTTTCCTTTTCCTTTTGAGTTGGGGAGGGCGATCTCATGTTAATGTTAGAAAGAAAAAGGACCATCTTTTTAGAATGCAAATAGAGGCAGAAACTCTATTTATGAAAATTTAAAGAACTGTGTGGAACAACTCCAAAACATAGCATCCTCAATTAGCATCACAATGACACTTTTCTTTCTTGTGTGCTTGATTTTTAAGATTCTCTTAATAAACATGGTGAAGGTCCCCCATTTCATTCAGGGGCAGGCATGACTCATGGATAGAAGCATGAAGTTGTGTTTCTGACTTGTGCCTTTGCCTTAGGCTGATCATAAAGTAGAATTTGTGTCCAAAGGAGGCTTCTCACCCACCAAGTGAATATTTAGTGCATTTCTCTTTAGGAGAAAGCTTGTTATGGCCTTGTTTTCCTGGACTGTGGATAACATTTTTCACACTTTATGAGGTTTTTTTCCTAGAGCCTTATAGGGGACCAAGCCCTTGCACAGCTCTGATATTCATGCTGTTGAAAACTTAAATCAAGCTTTGCTGTTCTAATTCAACAGGCCCCTGGACAACCAGTTGGTAGTGACTTCACCCTTGTCTGAAGTTCAATCATTTGGCACGTTTCAGAAAAATCAAGACTTTAATCATTAATAAATTGAAGCCAAGAGACGGGTCTGAGTTCTGGTCTCTTGGTCTAAGAAGTAGTTGACCTTGGTTTGGAAATTACTGAGGAAGGAGACCCAGGCATCTGGGATCACCTCCCCCTTGACCTCCACGCTACATTTCAATAGAAGAAAAGGCTGGCCAACTGGCAGTGCCTCCTGAATCACCTTCCTATAAAATAGCAGGCGTGGTGTCGGGGAATCTCTCTGGAAGACACTGTTTTTACTGAAACTAGATCAAACCCACTCCTCCACCCGGAGACCAGAACCCTTTTCACATGTAATTCCTAAACTGTAAACCCAAGACCCTTTCATATGTGATTTCTAAAGCTGTAAACCCAAGACCCTTTCACTTGTAATTTCTAAGGCTGTAAACTGAAGACCCTTTCACGTGTAATATCTACAGTGTAGGCCTATATAAAGGCAGAGCTTCTCTTTGTTAGGAGAGCGTGGCCGTTTGGACAAAACATAAAGCCTTGCTCGAGGGCCGTAATAATAAAACCCCTTCCTTTCTAGTTCAGTGTCTGAGAGGTCTGTTTCTCTCGGCTGCTCCTGCTTCATTACGTGGTTCCCACCAGCATGACTCTGTCTCCTTTTGCCAAATCAGGAGGTGTACTAGAAGATATCTAACATTTCTTCCAGCTCCTCGAGAGGGTAACTTTACTCAGAACCTCTTTTCCTCTCTTAGCTCATTTCTACAACCCATTATTTTCTTCTCAAAGTTATTCATTTCTTAATTAAAGATAGCTATTTATAATGAGTTCTACAGTCTCTGGGCTAGTGCTTATTTATCCTCTTCATTTCTGGGCTTCCTATAAATCCTGTAGCCACAATCTACTGCCAAATATCCAATGTGTAGGTGGCGATGTGTTCTTGTTTTATTAAAGTAGAACTCTTGTTTTTCTTCCAATGTACAGATCACTTCCCACTTGATGCTCATATGGGGAAGAAACATACAATGGAAAACAAAATTTGCATTCATGGTTTGTGTCATTTGCTCCTCCTTCTCTATCTGGCCCGCACCAGCTCTCACCCACATAAACATCCCTATTCTGAAGAGTTATCATGGCCCCAAGTGACTGAACAATAATGAGTGAAGCATTCTTACCAGCAAGATGTTTAAGGGAATTATATGGAAGGTTACATGGCATTCTTGTTCAATGAACTCACTTTCAGTTGTTTCTTTAAATAGGTAGACTATTTCCCTGCCAGAGGTGTAACTGCCCAGTGGGTTCACCTTGCCTGCTACCTAGAGAGTCCATTTCTCAAGACAGGGAAATTACAATAGAGAGAGAGTATTCAAACAGAGCCAGCCGTGCAGGAGACCAGAGTTTTATTATTACTGAAATCAATCTCCCTGAGAATTCAGGGATCAGAGATTTTAGGATAATTTGGTGGGTAGGGTGTTCAGATTGGTTGAGTTAGAGATGAAATCATAGGGAGTCAAAGCTGTTCTCTTGTGCTGAGTCAGTTCCTGGGTGGGGGTCACAAGACCAGACGAGCTGGTTCATTGCCTGGGTGGTGCCAGTGGATCCATGGAGGGCAGGGTCTGCAAAATACCTCAAGTACTAAGTTTATAGATTTTACAAGAGCGATGCTATCCCCAGGAGCAATTTGGGGAGGCTTAGAATCATTCAGCCTTCAGCTGCATGACTCCTAAACCATAATTTCTAAATTTCTAACCTTGTGGTGAAGCAGGTTTGTTTTGGGAAAGAGCTGTTATCATCTTTGTTTCAAAGCTAAGTTCCTCCCATAGTTAGTTCAGCCTATGCCCAGGAATGAACAAGGACAGCCTGGAGGTTAGAAGCAAGATGGAGTTGGTTAGGTCAGATTTCTTTCATTGTCTCAGTTACAATTTTGCAAGGGTAATTTCAATCAGACTTTCACATCCTTCTTCTATGGTCATAGTAGGAAAAAAAAAAAAAAGAAGAAAATATCTGATATGCCGGTAAGAATGCAGTTACCAATATAGCCACGCTGAGCACACCTTCACCAGCTGCGGTATCACACACTATAGCCAGCTTTCAGGATTTTAACAAAATGAAGCCCTCACTCCAAATCAAAAGTTAAAGGCTCAGTGCTGAAAGATGGAAGTTTGAGTCAATGGATAATAAATGCCAAGAGTGACCAGAGCCCTCAAGTGAAAAGGCAATCCCCTAGGCCAGCGGCTCTCACGTGTTAGCCTCCTGGTCATCACCCAGAGGCTGTTTGATCAATCACATGCTGGAACACACCCCAAAGCCTCTGATTCTGTCAGTCATGGGCACGGCTAGATAAAATGCATTTTTAACCCATTCCCAGATGATGCTGATGCTGCTGTTTTTGAGATTACCCTTTGAGAGCCACTGTTTGAGAATATGAGGAACAAGAACTATGGACACAAAGACACTTCAGTTCAGCTAAAATGATTCCCTTACTGACACTGCTAGAAGATTGACATCACTTCTCAGTGAGTGGTTGTGGAGACTGAGCAAAGCCACTTGACATCCTATATGTGTGTGCATAAAATGTGTAGCTCTCATTTTAGAATGGGGAGGGGTAAGGGGGATTATTCCTTATCAACAAGTTAGGGCCAGGGACGCTACTGTCCACCTGCCTGGGGATGAGCTTTGGCTTTGCCACCGACTAACTTTGTGATGTGGGGCAGATAATTTCAAGGCTCTGTGAATCACTTTACTCACTTCTTTTTGAGACAGAATTTTGCTCTTGTTGCCCAGGCTGGAGTGCAATGGCATGATCTTGGCTTACCACAACCTCCACCTCCTGGGTTCAAGTGATTCTCCTGCCTCAGCCTCCTGAGTAGCTGGGACTACAGGCATGCACCACCATGCCCAGCTAGTTTTGTATTTTTAGTAGAGATGGGGTTTCTCCATATTGGTCAGGCTGGTCTTGAACTCCTGACCTCAGTTGATCCACCCACCTTGGCCTCCCAAATTGCTGGGATTACAGGTGTGAGCCACTGCGCCTGGCCTTTACTCACTTATTAAATGGAAATAAGAATAAGAGCACCTACTTCATAAGGTCATTGTATTAAATAGGCTAATATTTTTCAAGTACTCAGATCAATACTGGGTACTCAAAACGTGTAATACAAATGGAAAATGCCTGATTACAAGAACATTTTCAATTATCGCTACATAAAATATTTGGGTTCTACCATCAAGAGTGGGCCAAACCAGACAAACATCACAGAGAATTTTATTTTAACAAAGCTGGTGATGGTCCGATGGTATCGCGTGGTGTGACATAACACTATACTTTTGCCTGCTTCTCAGAGAATGCCTCGTGATTTTTAACACTTATGTTCTCCCCTGCTGGAGGCTTGGATCTTGAGCTCTTGTTCCTATTTCCTTGACTAAAGGTGACACCTTGTTGGTGCTCCCTTTATTGTTTTATATATATCTATATCATTGTTCCTATAACATAGACATGAGGGACAAGAATTATGGGAAACACAAAGAAGATACATCTCTGCAAAAAGTGTCTTATCTACCATTATTCTGTCTAGCAATCATCCATCTAAGTCAATCAGTATATCTATCTCTATATCTAATCTATTGAATCTATATTGATCGATCTAATCTATCATCTATCTAATCTATATCTGTCACCTATCTACTATCTATCTAATCTATGTCTATCATCTGTCTGTCTGTCTTTCTTTCTA